AGATCTGCGATGCTAGAAAGCTGAAATCTTAGGGGGTGTTCCCTGTCAGGGTGGGTATTGATGAGCTCAAACCCAGCCCTCGCGTAAGCATGGTGCTCGCGTGCGGGCCCGCGAAAATTTTTTTCGAGTAAGTTCATGACTCGGGGATCTGAGAAGCTAGAAAGCTGGAATCTTAGGGGTATGTTCCCGATCCAAGTGGGTATTAATGAGCTCAAACCCTGCCCGCGGGTAAACGTGATACCTTCATACGGGTCCGTGAAAATTTCGGGTAAGTTGCTAACTCGGGAACGTGAGAAGTTAGAGGACTGGAATTTTGAAGGGATGTTTCCTGACAGTCCTGGCGGTCAGTCTGAAATTTTTTTAGCTAGAAGCACCTGCTGGAGAAAACAGTGCTGTTAGCGACAAAAATCTATGGGGAGCTATGCGAAAAACGCATCTTCACACGGGCAGCCCGTGCGTTGGCCAATTATTTCTTCTCCTTTTACTTAAATTCTTCCATATCCATGACTTGACGAAAACCATGATTTTTTAAAAAAGAAAGTGATGATGAAAGTTACGACTTTAGAACTCACAGTTTTCAGGATACATAATGAAAAATTACGATTTTAGGAAAATGGTCCAACTGAAGTGAATGCTTTCGCAGGAATGATTAACCCTGCTCCGTACAGTGATGATCCAGAAGCGGTTGCAGCGCGTGAAAGCATTGATTATTCGAAGAAAATTACCATTGAAATGGCAAAAAATGGCCAAGGTGGTTTTTTTATGTCATCTGATAAGCATTTTTCTTTCCCTTTTTCCGTTCTTTGCTTTTTTTTTTTGAATTTCTTTCATCTCTAGATGTACTTCCAACTGTCGTGCTGACGAAGTCCAAAGTGCCCGGCGCTAAGCGAAAACGTTGACTTTATAATAGGCTAGAACTCACTGATTTCTTTTTTTTGCTTTGATGATTCCCTTGGTTCGTTTTTCTTTGTGCCCCTTTGTTTTTTATGTTTTTTTTTTGTGCAGCGGTTTTTTTGGATTATGATTTTTTTGGGCGACTTTCTTTTGTTGAGTTTTTGTTTTCGTTGAACACAATCATAATCCAAAAAGCTAGTCGGGTTTTCGGATTATGATGGGGGTTTTTTTTGTGCACAGCTAATAATCAACGTTACCGTTGGTTCTGGCAACTTTTCCAGTTGTTTCGGCCAATACCACATTGCCTGGTGGTGATTCCGTTAGCGACTCCAGCGTTCGTTTCTTTTAAAGGGATATTCAACTTGACGATTCTCCTGACAGAAGCACTTGGCAAGGCAGTAGCCATTACGAGATGGCGAAATGGGGCATGATACTGATGATTCCCATCCCATTTTGAACCGATTCTGCCGTTCTGTGTTTACAGCTCAGGGATGAAACATAGACAGGCTACTAGGTCACTGCACATACAGGCTTGCTTATTTGGCAGATCTAAATGGCACTTCCAGTTTTTCATTAATTATCAAAATTCGATTATGTTCCTCCCCACGGTGGGCCAACAATGCCAAACAAACCGCATATGTTATCACATGAAAGATTTCAGGCCCCCGTCCTCTTCCAATCTCCTAGTCACTGATATTCATTGTTTGTATCTTTAAAATTTCTGAAACAGTTAGTATCTCAGTTAGTATCCCAAGCAGTTAGTATCCCAAGCATTCCCACTCCTACGTCTATGAAGTAATTTCATGTATCCTGATTTTTCTGCTTTTTGAGTTTTTCTTTCTTTTTAGCTGGACGCCCGGTTCGTGTGTACGCTGATGGCATATATGACTTGTTCCATTATGGGCATGCGAATCAACTGCGACAAGCAAAGAATGCTTTTCCGAACGTTTATCTGATCGT